TCTACTAGGGAAGGACCTATTCTTTTTAAAATCTTTATTGCCATTTTTTATCTTAAAAATACATTATTTATAACATTTAATGATGACTTATTGGTATCATTTTAAATATTCTTTTAGTACATTCCTGCTCTTGTCTCTATTTCTTTCTGTTCTGCAATGTCTCTAGGTAATCAAGAGCTTTATTGCTTTTCTCTCAAGTGATGTTGATTATTGATATTATTTCTGTGTAGAGCATTGTCTCCTTTAGCTTAGGCTTCCCTCATTCTTGTAATTGAGAATTGCATTGAACACCTAATCCTTCCTCTGCTGTCCAGTGCTGGGAAAATAGTCCTGCAACTTCTTCCATTCTGGGCCTTGACTGGTCACTCATAAGGAAAAGTAAACCAGTAAATGAGTGATCTCCAATCTCTCTGTCTTTTATGGGAGACTTATAAATGAAGAGGAACCTCTGCAAGAATGGAGTTCATTGACCAACTTTGAAGCTAGTGGAGGCACAGTGCAAGAAGGGAGAGGTAGGGTGAGGGTTGAGATATTTCCTACTTCAACAATACTTTAGACTAGCAATGAGGAATTAGGTAATCAATTTTAGATGTTCCATAAATGTACTGATTGGCCGTTTCTTGGGGTTCACAGACAAGGGCAATCAAGAAACTGGATAAAGGACTGATCTTATCATGAAACCAAATTGCTATAGTTACAGTACTTCACTCATAATAGATGTGGGTAAAATGTTGTGGCCATGCCTAATGGAACTGTTATTTTTCAGATTTTAGATATACACCCAGAGATAAAAGGTTTGAGAAATCTTTCATGTGCTCTAATACAAATCCATAGACTGTGGAGCACATGGCCATAAAGTCTGTGTCAACTTCACAAAATAATTTTTGGAGATCATAACTGCATCATATCCACATTCTCTTTCCTGTCTCTAAGACATACCATGACCTCTCATTGTTTTCTAATTCATGGCCTGTTTTTTTTGACTTGCTTTTCTTTAACAACAGTTATACAATAACAACAGTTACTGTGTGAATGTGACCTTTGACTACACAATTTCCCAGCTATGAGGCAATGGGTTGGCTGCACTGCACATTGAGTGTATAATGGAATGGGCACAGAAAAGAACCTGTGCTTTGGATGAGGAACAGGATATACTCTAGGAGAGTAGTGTTGAGCTGTTATTTCTGCTTGGATGGACCATTAGACTGAGTATGGTTTTGTTGGTCCATGTGCTGACCTGGGCAGTCACCCTTGTCCTCTGTACCTCCCTGTATATGGATTTCCTAGGTAGGAGACTCTGCAGGCCTGACATGGGAGTATATGATGCTTGTCATATCATAGTTCATTTTGCCCACACAGGCATGCTTTTGGTTTGCAGTGTGAAGACAGATTGGAAAAATGAGTGTCTTGTTTCTGGAAGTTCTGAGTATTGCATTCCACTTTCAGGTTTGTCTACAAATGTTACAAATAGTTTAAAAACTGTTAGAAAGATGGTGATGTGAATCACCCCTTGGTAAATACATGATTACAATGCTTTTAACTTTCTGCTACCACCAGCTGCAATGGTGTGTTTCAGTGAAGTTTAGTTTCCAGGAACAAAGGGCATTTCTGAGCTGCAGATGTTTCTTAGGTGTGCATGGTGTTGGGAAGGTAGATAGGGTAGAATTGACATCTTGTGCTATAATCCATGGGACAGGAAGCAGAATTAACATAACATAGAATTAAGTAATTCTATGTTGCTTTTGGATTGTGAAAGAGTGGAGCTGGCTTTACCTGAAATCAGAAGGAGACATAAGGGGCTGCATAGTCATATCAAGAGATCACCTCCTTTTGCAGTGAGAGCTCTAGACTTGGAGCTTTTGTCTTTGAAAAAATATCACGGACTTAAGGGTAAGAAACAATTATTGATTGGTCACTTTGAGTTAAATTTTTGTTGTAGTTTTGAAGTCTGTGCTTATTTCGTTTCTATACACATAGAATTATAGTTGCCTGGATAACAGTGATCAAGATCACACTTTTCTGGTTAAGTTTCTTTTGCTATCTGATTAATTGTTGACTGTACTTTCTTGCCTTTATTCTTGGTTTTTGTCTCTATCTCCTTTATTCTTTCATAAATATTGTGTATATTCTCGATTATTATAGCTTTGTAGTAAGTATAGAAATCATATTAGGTCAATCTGTATACTATTTTTTCATACTTTCATTGATCATGCTGAGTGTTTTCACAGTGAAAGTAGCAATGTAATTAGCCTTCCTGTTATAAATTGTTGGGCATTATTGTTGGATTTTATTCATTTTATGCTCTAGATTAACCATAAACAACATCTTAATTTTGGTGCATCATGTCCTGAAAAATATTTTCATTTTAATTATTTAGGTTTTGTTGTTCTTGTTGTTAATCTGTAAAAGCCTTTTGGTTTATTGGATAAAGCATATTATGGGTTTTAGAAGGTGGCTCAGCACCTATTCATTTTGGGGATGGCCTGAGTTCAGATATCAACATTCAATTAATAGACTCATACTATCTACTCTTGCAGATACTGTATACAGATGGGAAACATACTCTCTCAATCAAAAACTTATGCTAAAATAGCAGTAAACTTGTTTTGAAATGTGTTTGTGACTTATAATGTAATTAGAGCATACCAAGGTGCTTTAAGTGTACACTGATTCTTTAAAAATCTCTTACCTTGAATTTTGTTTTAAAAAGTTTTCATTTCCTCACTCTGGTGCAGACTTACAGGCAATTATCAGTCATAGGAAAGAAGATATTGTCTAAGTGATCCTAACAGATATCCTTTTCTTGATCATAAGAGAATGAGATCCTTTTAGTAGTCAAAAGTGTTTTCTACAAAGTTAAAATATCAGAGGGCTTCAAGTGAATCTCTCCAATTTCAGTGGAAGATGCTCCTTACATAACACATTTTCTATTATTGGCAAAGGAGAGAATGAGTATATAGGATGAGTGATGGCCAGTGATTTCGTGTGGTTGATTTTGATTAGAATCTTGTCATTCCTGTTTAATGGAGCATGATATATATTTGTTGGTATGTCTTTATGTCTCATTTCTTTTTCAGTGGTCCCATCTATAATTTTAGGTTTATTAACATCTAATTATATTGCTGTTTCTCTGGAAAATGTTTGGCCTTCACCAATTTTGTATATCATGACAGTATGTTCTGAAAATTCTGACCTCATAAAACTAGTCTTTTTTTGGTAGTCATAAAATAAATATTTGGAAAGTGGGATACTTGGGATAATTTGGATTCTATGAGGAGAAGTTGCATAAAACATTTTTGCATTTAATATTTGTGTTTCAGAAAAATCATTTTAAATCTTTTTCAGTATTGTATAAGGCTGCAATTATTGAAGACACTGAAATTTTAAAGACTTTTTAGGCTTATAATAAAGAACTTTAATGTTTTTCTGTAATAAAAACAGACCTTGTTTTGATTTTTTTGACACATTCTTTCTATGTAGGCCTGGTTGTCCTGGAACTTACATGTAGATCAGACTGACCTTGAACTCAGACAGACCCTCCTGTGTCTGATTCTCAAGTGCTGGGAAGGAAAGCTTACACCAGCATATCTGGTCTTATTTAGGTTCTATGAAAAAGTCTCAATATGTATCCTTGTTGGGCCTAGCATTGCTGAGTAAAGCAGGCTGACTTCAAGCACAGAGATTTGTTTGCTTCTGAATCCAGAGCCCTGGAATTAAAATATATGTTGCCATACCTGGCTGAGGTATTTTTATATGGCTACTAAATGTCAGTGTTGGTTTTGCTTTGAGAAAGTATAACAGCACATGTGGGCTAAAAATTGGGGGCCTGATTTACTTATTTTGAAACCTTCTCCCTAGCAGGCCAGGATGACCTTGAAATCTATATTGACCCGAGCATGCCTTTGTCTCCATGCTCTTAGCCCCACACCAGCCAGTGTCCAGTATGATCTATAAATATAAAATATGAAAATGTTGCTCCTTTTTTCACATTGCCTAGGTTTTGATTCAGAGAGATGAAGAATAATATTGTCTTTCTTTCTGTCTGTGTTATCTTTGTTTGACTTTTGTCCTTTTTGACCCATGTCTACACAAACTATTTCTAAATTATTATTATTATTCAGCTTTTATTTGAAATAGTTTTTTGCTTTTAGAATTATGATTTTTTGTATATCTTAGATTGCTTATTCTAGACAATTTCATCATGGAGTGAAACCCAGGCAGGTCTCATGCTAGGCAGTGACTCTACCTTCCTTCCTTAGGAATTCTTGTTTGATATGTGAAAATATTTTTCACTCCTTTTTCTTTTTTTTTTTGTTTTTTGGTGACAGGTTTTCCCTGCATAGTTTTGGTGCCTGTCCTGGATCTTGCTCTGTAGATCAGACTGGCCTCACACTCACAGAAATCTGCTTGGCTGTGCCTCCTGTGTCCTGAGATTAAAGGCGTGCTGACCACTGCCATGTGACGTGAATATATTTTTACTTTCATACAATCTCAATGAACAGATCTTGTCCTTTGCTTAATGAATCTTGTGGATTAGTTTTCACTTCATCTACTTTTCTTACATTAAGATAATTGTGATGTATCATGACTTCATTTCTTGATTTTTAAAGCTTTTTGTTTCATATATCCTACTTTTTAACAAAGACTCATGCTTTTCTTGAGGATAATGTTGATACTGTGCATAAGAAAATGTCAATCATCTTGTCAAAAAACCTAAAAACTGTTGTAGCTAAATTACATTTTCCCTGTTTTTAAATTATAATTAATGAGTTAATCAATATATCTGAGCTAGTTTTGCTGGGTGGCTTTCCTTGAATTCATCTATATAGACCAGGCTGGTCTCACATTTGGGGTAATCCTGCTACATTCTGAGAGCTGGGATTACAGGTGTGTGTCCAGTAAGCTATCATTTATCTTCCAGTTATTTTCTCCCCTCATAAATGTCTAAATAAATGATTGTGTATTCCAGGAAATGTGAAATCTGCTAATAAATGTAGCTCTTACAAGTAGATAATCATTGGTGACCAGTCTTCAGTGGCTGGCTGGGCACTCCAGTCTTCAGTAGGGAATTGCTGGATGGGTACAGAGGGCACCTGTACACGCTCAGAGCAGTCTGCCACCTCTGGCTGAGCAGCAGTGAACTCAGGACCTGGTGCAGTCCATTCACCCTGGAATTCCTCCTTGGTTACATCCTTTTCATTAGTGGCCTGTTCCTCCTTCTCAATCTCCTCTGGGTCTCTGTAGAAGTAAAGATCAGGCATAACTTCCCATGGGTTCTCATGGGAGATAGTGCCACGCATGCAGAGTACTTCCCGGGCCAGCATCCACCACATCAGACCCACTGAGTGCGCTCCCTTATTGATGAATGGGAAGGCAATGTCCACATAGTGCAGAGGTGAGTCTGTGTTACACAGAGCAATGGTGGGCAGGTTGACATAAGACGCCTCTGTGAGGGGCTGGTGGTCAGCTCTGGGATCAGTCACCACTAGAACCCGCAGCTCCCTGAAGGCTGCTTGGATCTGGTTAGTGAAGGTCCCAGGGGTGAAGCAGTCAGCTATTGGAGTGGCTCCAATGGCGGCAGCAAACTTCAGCACAGCTTGCTGTCCTGTGTTCCTGGAGGAGATGACTCTGACATCAGCAGGGTTCTCAATGGCAACAATAGCACAGGCTGCAAGCAACAGCTTCTCCCAGGTCCTCTTCAGATTTATGATGTAGATACCATCACTTTTCCTTTTGTAGATGTACTGCTCCATCTGAAAGTCAAGGTTGGTGCCACATAAGTGGGTTCCTGCAGCAAGGAATTTGAGGACATCCTCCTCCTTCATCTGCAGGACATCAAGGGCTCCGGACATTGTGTAAGTTTCCCTTTAAGTTACGACGGGAATCAGGAACAAAGTCGTATGGACCGTCCCAGAGTAGCGCGGAAAAGTGGAAAATTGGCATTTTTGAGTTCAATTACTTAAATTCAGGATATGTTTTTAGTTCTATGGAATGTGGAGACATTATGTGTGTTTAAGTGAGGTTTTCTTACTTTTCTATAACAGAAACAATATACGAGGAAGGTCCAGACAAATATAAATTAAGAATTAAAATTTTCCTGCAGTCCTGGATTATGTTCTTCTAGGCCCCTGAGAACAGGTTGTGCTCCTTATAGGGAAACTCAGTGCCTTGCTCTGTCACAGCACTAGACCTGCTTAGCAAGTGTGACTTTTAGGATCAGTTTGGTGTTTTCTGTGAATGTAGGGGCCCTGGCTTAAGAAGGAGGTGAACAAAATTTAAGCCTTGCCAGAATCCAAGAGAGCTCCTTGTCTCTAATTCAGCCTAGTGAAACTATGTATGAAATCCTGGTGCTTATTTATACACTATTGCATTTTTATGTTTATAGCCCACACCACATGTAGTCACTCCTGCCCCACATTTTTTCTTAGCACGTTTCTTACTAGAAGATAGTAGCTTTAATTTAAGGTTTCCTATGTTTGTACTTTGCCTATGTGTATGTCTGTGTACCACTTGCATTTCTGGTTCCTATTGAGGCCAGAAGTGGATGTCAGATTCCCTGCAACTGGAATTAAAGATGACTGTGAGCTTTTATGTGGATGCTGGAAATGAAATTCTTTCCTAGGGTCCTCTTTACTAACTAACCTACCTGAAGCTGTGATTTGTAGTCTGGTTATCCTTTGGTTTACATCTAGTATCCACTTATGAGTGAGTACATAGCATATTTGTCTTTCTGATGCTAGGTTACCTCATTCAGGATGATATTTTCTAGTTCCATCCACTTGTCTGTAAACCTTATGATGCCATTGTTTTATTCTGCTGAGTAGTACTCCATTATGTATATGTACCACATTTTTTTTTATCCATTCTTCAGTTGAAGGACATCTAGGTTGTTTCCAAGTTCTACTTACTACAAATAATGCTGCTACAATAATAGTTAAGCATGTGTCCTTGTGGTATGATTGAGCATTCCTTGGGTACATGCCCAAGAGTGGTACAGGTTGGTCTTTAGGGAGATTAATTTCCAATTTTCCAAGAAAGCACCATACTGATTTCCAAAGCGGCTGTACACGTTTTCACGCCCACCAACAGTGAACGAGTGTTCCCCTTGTTCCAAATCCTCTCCAACATAAGCTGTCTTCAGTGTTTTTGATCTTAGCCATAATTAGTTTTGAAAATGATTCTATGGGACCAGTGGCAGACACTTGAAATGACTTTAAGATGTATTGTATTGTTCTAATTCTTCAGTGCTCCTTTTCTTGTATGTAATTCAATTTTCTTTTTTTCATGTGTGTGTGAGTATGTATATGTGCATGTGTTTGTGTAGACTGTGTCATAGGCTTTAAAACTCGCAATGATCTTGCTTCCTCTGTGTCCAGTTTGCTGGCACTATAAGAATGCACTGCCACTTTCAGCTTGAAAATTAATTCTATGTTCTAAGTGTCCTCTTCTTATGGTAGACAGGGAGGCAAGGAGATGGTGTCAGGACCCCTGATAGTGGAGTTACTGATATTAGTAATCATCTAAATGTATTGGGAATGGAAGCTGGATGCTCTGAAAGAATATTCAGTGCTCTTAACTGCTGATTTATTTTACTACTTATGTTTTCTATTTTTTTTTTTTTTGGTTTTTCGAGACAGGGTTTCTCTGTGTAGCTTTGCGCCTTTTTCCTGGAACTCACTTGGTAGCCCAGGCTGGCCTCGAACTCACAGAGATCCTCCTGGCTCTGCCTCCCGAGTGCTGGGATTAAAGGCGTGTGCCACCACCACCCGGCTTGTTTTCTATTTTTAATTATGTTTCCGGTCCAAGGTAATCCAGTCATGGTTAGACACCAGATGCTGATTAAAATGTGAATTTTCCAGAGAGGATTAAACTCAAGCAAAGATGAGATCCCTAATTGTTTATCTAATACAACATGGTCAGCCCATTATCTCTATCTATCTGTCTGTCTATCTATCTATCTATCTATCTATCTATCTCCAACAAAAATGGATGGAGTGGGGTGTATTAATGTATTTCAGCATACTTATTCACCTACAGTTAAAAATTAAGAAGTTAGAAAGGATTTGGGAAGGGATAGAATGAAGAGATAAAAGGGGAAAGTGATGTAATATCTCTTGCTTAACAATTTATGGAAAGAAATTTTAAATGAAAAGGGGGCTAGATTGACAGCTCAGCAATTAAGAGAACTGGGTATTTTTATAGAGGACCCAGGTTCCATTCCCAGAACCCACTTCGTAGCTAACCATTTGTTGTAACTTTAGTCCTAGGCATCTCCTGCCTTCTTCTGGCCTTGTTAGGAACTACACACAGACACATACAGGCAAAACATTGTATACATATTTTTTTAAAAAGTTATAAAAAGAAAAGAATAACATTTTTTACAGTGATGTCATAGTCCTTAGCCATAAAACAAGCCAGGGCTTGCTCAAATGTAATCCTGCTGGTGTTGAATGGAAGCAGCTGTGACCCACTGCTAAGCCAGCCTGCTCAGAGGGAAAAGCAGTTTTGTTGTGAAGTTCATAGAGTTCATTATAACCATCTATCTAGGAGCAAAGTAAGCAATGCTGTTAGGTGACTTTTCCTTGATACCTCTGTATTTGTGTTCGTATCTGTGAGAATTGGGGCAATGGTACAGTTTCTTTTAGATCAAACATCAAGATTGACAGGTCACATAGGCCCCAAAGCAATCTACTTTTTTTGAAGACAGTGTTTCTCTGTGAAACTGTCCTGGCTGTCCTGGATCTTGCTCTGTAGACCAGGCTGACCTAGAACTCACAGAGATCTGACTAGCTCTGCCTTCTGAGTGCTGGGATTAAAGGTGTGAGCCACCACAGCCCAGCACAATCTACTTTTTACAGGGTCATTTCCTTGATTTTCAGCTAAGACTTTGTGGTACAAGATGAACATGCCAGAGACATTTCTTTCCATCATTTTTATAATTTATATATGTTCCTGCATAACATTGAGTTAAGAATATCCATAAATGTCCCTATTTTACATTGTGATCATTATCAGAAGTGGATCTGTTTACTTCGCAAACTTAAGAATATACAGAGTGCTACATGAATGAGCCCAGCCTCCCTACTAAATCCACATGCTTCCTTTGTTTAGGAAAAGCATTGTTTTGGAAATAATTTCCATCCTCTCCTTGCCTCCTGCAGTTAAGAAATCTTTCTCATTTCATCTGTCTTGTCTGTTGTGATGGCTATTCTTAATAGTCAGGCTGACTACCTCTTTAATTAATTAAAACCCAAAAGATTTGTGTACTCCAGAGAGAGATTTTTCTTAAAAGTTTTAAAGTTAAAGACAAATCTTTAATATGGATCATTTTAGGTGATAAGATCCACTTTTAGCTGCTTGGTGGCAGTGCACACCTTTAACCCCAGGAAGCAGAAGAATTTGGATTTTCTGAGTTTGAGGCCAGCCTGCTCAACAGAATGAGTTTCAGGGCTACAATGATAAAAATCTTTCTTGAAATCACCAAAACACCAATCAACAAAGAATAAGATCCAACTTTAATCTGGGTAGCAACTGTTGGTGTCAGCCTACATATATAAAGGATAGTAAAGATGGAAGTTCTCTTTTCGCCTGCTTGCCCTAGCTCTGATTACCAAGATTTTTTAGTTTACTATCATTAGAGCCTACTTCCTTAAAATTGTGGTGTATACTGAAGACCAGCTGAGACGTCCAGCCTCATGGACTGAATAACTACTGGACTTTTCAAATTTCCATTGGTAGACAGCCATTGTTAGACTAGCTTTACTACAGTTTGTGAGACATTCTAATAAATCCACTTTGTACACACACGGAGAGATTCATTCTACTAGTCCTGATTATTTATATTCTGATCCTGTCCCTTGGCTGCAAAACTCAATGTCCTGACATAAAAGCTTATTCTTAAGGGATATTTCCACCCACTACCCTCTCTCTCTCCTTATTTTCTCCCAGGAAGTGTGAGCACATTTGAATTCCTCCCCCTCCCCCCTTTTTCCCTCTTTCTCTTTCCCTTTTCTCTTCCTCCACTAAATAGACCTCTTCACTCAGTGCTGTCTGAATGTCGTCTTTGTCACCAGCAGCAGGGCACCTTGGCTCGCTACCTGCCAGAGCCTTCATTATACAATTCATAACACGGTTCATGTACAGAAACTTGAAAAATGCAGTGGTTTTTTTTGTTTTGTTTTTTCACCTGCCCTAGGAGTAAGCTATGCCGATTAATAACAGTGCTTGTAAACATAATATTCTTAGCTCCATTATGCTTTAAATATTCAACTTTCCTTGAAGCCTACCCTTCATTATTATTCATTTGCCAACAGTGTGCTCTGATTTTCAGGAATAAAACTCCTAAAGCAATGAAGCCATTTCTGATGGAAGAAAGACCTATTATCTTGTTTGTAATCCACTTCCTGTATTTCTTTCCTGGTTATATGAAGTCCCTGTGACAACCAGGTAAAATGTGGGTTCAGTTCACCTGACCTCAACTTGAAGTCACAAAACAAACATCTCCTTTTTTGTCTTTCATTCTCTCTTTAGCTGCTAATATTTTGGGCACCCTTCTACCTGTGTGATGTGGAATCACTCCACCCGACATAGTATAGTGGACTGTACATGCTAGCCACACTGTGTCCAGGATGAAGAAGGGGAAGTGCCTACCAAGAGCAGAAAAATAGCAGGGTCTGCTCTTGTAACCAGGGACAAGTGCTATTGAAATGCAAATGTTTAGAAAAGGTCTGGGTCTGTGGTGGAAAGCAGGATTAGGAACCATTGGTCTGTGACTTTAAGCCCAGTATAACCCTATGGGAGGTGCTCTTGTCACTCAGGACTCACTAGCCAATCAGGCCCTTCAGGTGACCTGTCAGTCAGAAGTGGTACAGGGTCCTTTCAGCTGCTAGCTTCAAGCT